AAAGCCCCTTCCAATTACCATCTTAGAAAACTTAAAGAATTTATCCTCCAAAAAGGCTAGAAAGGACTCCCTGTACAGGCGAATGCTTTGTTCATTTTTAAGTCAGTAATTAAAATAACTATAATAATCTCACTACAATAATTGTAATTACAATAATAATAATAATAATAATAATAATAATAATAATAATAATAGTAATAATGATAATAATAATTTTAATATTGGTTGCCTTTTTGCCCTTTAAACATGTTTCCGTTTGCTGTTTTTTGATGTGGGTCCTTTTTGTTGAAAAATGTTTAAATGTTGATTGTTTAAATTTTTTTGCTTGAACCCTTTACTTTTGTAAAATTCAACCCATTTTGACTGATGCAATAAAGAACGATTTGATTAGATTTGAATCGGAGACCTAGAGATCCCCACGTTTCAGCGCACACTGAGGCTACCACCAGTTTAGGCAACTAAGCTAAGCTGCTCTGCTCCCTGGTTATAAATATAAGTTAAGTTAAAAAAGTTGAGACTTACAACAGCCTATAACCTATACAGAAACTGAAACTCGGTACGGTAGTTGATTGCGGGAGGCTTTGACTTCTGAGGAATGGAAACAACTCACACTTTCGAATAGGGGAACAATGCAGAAATAGATAGAAAATAGAAATACAAACATAAGAAAGCATAAACCGAAAGGTCCACTGATTAATATCAGATAAGATAGTATAATACATACTCGAAGTATCAAAATGCACGCCATCGTATTGGAGTATGTATTATACTATCTTATCTAAGAAAGCATAGTGTTAATCAATTAATTATACTGAACATTAAGAAGTAACAGACCAAGAAAATGAGTTAGAGTATGTTAAAACAAAAAATAGGTACCATTCCCATATTTAATAATAGGCTCTATTATCTATTTTCTTCCTCTCTGATTACAGTAACACTATTAAAATTCAGAGACGGACAAAAATTTACTTCCGCCATAATATATTGTACAGTAAGCCTATGATTTCTGGATCACTTTTTGTTCAGGTCATCTAATAGGCTTGAAAATATCAATATAAAGACCTTTGAGTAACAAAATTCATTGATTGTTTTTAATAAAGTGTCACTTTGATACAAAAATAAATATGTTGCTCTGAAACATGATAAGGTCAATCTGAATAAAATGACCATCGTCCTTTAAGGTCCAATTGATGATGTTGCAGGCGGTTATCATCCGAATATCCGAATTATAGGCCTACAATGTACTGTATACATTATTTTAATCGATTTCAACATGCTGTGTATAAATTTAATAATAGGCCTACTATGATGGATAACCATGTATTTTATTCTTTATTTATTGACATGTTTAAAGTCGGAGGCAGATTTTAAGGTGGGTATTATGCAGCCGTCCAGGACTCATACATTTTTGAAAAAATTAAAAAGAAAATATTTTGTCAAAAGCGTTGTATTATTAGATTGATCGGTAGTAGTAAGTAGGGGCCCATCTTTCCGGGACTAATTTGGACATGGAGGAAGTAAGTGTTTCCCCAGAAAGCACACAGGCATTACATAACTGGTCAAACCCCCATAGTGGGACATCCTGGGGCATAGTTGAAAGAACCCCTTCTAATAAATTTGCCAAATATTGTGTTTGTGGGATTTTGGTCTAGGCCTATTTGGATTTTCGGGAATTAAAGAAAAGGTTACGTATTGTTAAGGCGTTGTAGGAGAGTGTTGAGTATCAGTATTACTGTAAGTATAAGTAGTAGCCTCTACAGGGCCCACTTGTACTCGGACTTCACCCAGAAAGCACATGCGTTACTTAAGGCTTGGTAGGAATGTGCTAGGTGGTAGAGCCCCGAACACCCCGAGAGCTCACGAGTTACGCAAATGGGTCCTATTTATTTTAATATGATATGCCATAATTGGACTTTATGGGACAATATATGAAACATTATACCGTTTCTGATATATGTAAACTGCAAACACGACTACTTTTGGTGAGTTTATATACTTATTCTTATTTTATGCACATTTTAAGTATATATTGCGGTTATTTTAAAACAAATAAACACCTATTTTTGAATTATGTTCCATTCTGGCATGAGTGACAGTAGTTTTTTTTTATGTCTGGTTTGTTGCCTGTGTAGAAATTAATTAGTTTAGACACCAACATCATATCTGTAGCTTATTTAGTTCCAATTATATGCACATTTTACATAAATTTGGCGGCCATTTTGAAAAATGGCCGCGATTTGTATACAAGGTGAAAAATCAAGTGTCAACATGGCTTAAGGTGACCAGGACGGATTATTTAGGATATCTGGCTATGTTGACTTCTTCTAACATTCCACTCCCCTAACTTGATTTTTAGGCCTCTTTTTTCATTTTTTCCTAGTCTATTTGGGATGATTGGGATTTTAACAAATTCTACATTACCTACAATCAAATCATACAATGGTCTTTCCATGTGAATTGCATGAACTTCTCCCACCAAAAAAGGAGTATCAATGTGCACAAGAGCAACAGAAAATTTTAGAAAAGGAGTGCCCAAATTGTTAATTTTAAATAGGCCTACTCAATGGTTCTTTCCAGTTTCAATCCATTTCAAGGCTTGTCCGGTTACGATACATTCAATTGATTTTAAAAAAAATAAAACGAGACCTATTTAAACAACTTTGTTCGACTGCTTTACAAATTACAGATTGCCTACATAGAACCATGTCATTAATAAATATTGTTATTAATTCCATAATGTATTTAGCTCCATTTTCATTTTTGTGTTTCTTTGCTTTCTCTTGCATTCCATAGGCCACACCTTTAGTAAATGAAGGTGAGAAGTATTTTAACTGTAAATTGAATTAATGTGTTATATTTGCTGTTATAATTCTCCTGTATAATATTATTGTTATTACCGTACTCAACGGCGGCGAAACGTTTTTGAAAGTGTTGCAGAAGGGAATACAAAAACCCGACAAGTATTTGCCAGATATGACTGTAGAAAGACTAAAAAAATTACCCAAAAACAGCTAATGTCAGCGTGCAGGGACGTACCAGGGGGAAGCCGTGGGAGCCGCGGCTCCCCCCCCCCCCCTTTGTACACAGTGTTAAAATGTTAAAGCTTATTCATGAGCCAATACAAATTCTTTCCTGGGACCACTCAAAATGAATACTTCTAAAACATGTTTTACTCCACATATCAAGCACCCTGAGCATCTTACATTAGGTGGATATGTGCGCTATATAAAACTACACTATTATTATTATTATTATGTAAATATGCATCAGTACACGTTATACATAGGCCTAATAGAACACATAGGCCTAAGCGAGATTTAAAAAAATCTTAAATGCATAAATCTCAGGCCAGGTCTTTTAAGATAGAAATGCGATACTGTGGTTCAATTGCGGTTTTATGCTTTTTCAAGTTTCTTTACATTTTTGTTTAGTAATACTACTGCTACTAGTAATAATAATAATAACAATGATGATGATGATGATGACGATAGTAATAATTAATAATAATATTAATTGCAATAAAAAGTGAAGAAAATTGTGCTAAATGCGAAAAAAAGTTGTGATTTGTTGATCTTAATATAGTATATATAGTTAAAGCTTAGTAAGCTATAGTTAGGCCTAAGTTGTCATGGATATTAAGTAGATCCCTGATAAAAAATCATGAGAAATTTGTTGGCGTTTCATTTTGACTATAATGGTGATGTGATGATGATGAATTTTACTATATAAAAGTGTCATATAGTAGGTACTATTCCTCAAATTATTTCACCTCAGCTCCAGCCATGGTGGGGCTGAGGTGGTTGTGAAATCACTTTTTTGAAGTAGGCCTATGTAAAGTACATACTCAAAGGCTCCAGCCATGGTGGGGCTGAGGTGGTTGTGAAATCAC